GGAAGTATTCTCTAAGCGACAAGACTGGAACACTGCTACCCGACTTTCCCAATGCGTTATTACTGGAATTACCACCAGAAGTATCGCTAGATAAGGTGAGATGTCACCGTCCAGATGACGAGCCACGGTTTTTGCGCCTAGCACAGGCGTTTGGTTGCGTCGTAGCCATTTCAGACAATTGCTTCGCGGAGAAAAATTCATTCGTTTGCCAAACTTTTGCTGAACATATATCGTAATCTTACCTTATAAGGAAGTACGTTAAAAAGTTTCTTTCAAGTTTTTTCCCTTTTTTAGTGCGTTAAAATGGCTAAAACTTGCAGAATTTGCAGAGAAATTACTTTGTCGGCGATTTAAATTTGTTCTAGTCCCCTCCCATCCTTGAAAATAAGGAATCCCACAAAAAAAACACAGGTAGCCCGCGCGAATGTTATACAATTCTTTGATGGAAAGCTATCCAGTATGGCGGATTTAGTACTATGCGACCGTTTAATGCAAAAGGTCTATATTACATGCATCAGTACTTTCGGAGAACAAAGAATCCGCCATCTTGAAAAGTGAAACTAAAATAAATCACTATGTCGTGCCGTAGAACACATTTCGTAGTTGCTAAGTTAACTTATTTTAAAATTATATCATATATTAGTATAAGCATACTAATGGTCTATCACTCATACTGCGCTGTGATTGGCTACTCTACTAATGGTGGGAACTAGCGGTAAACTAGTGTGAGCTGCGTCGGTGTTTCTAAAGAAACAGTTATGTAAAAAGATAAATTTAACACCGTACTCCGACGAAGGATTAACATCCGAAACGTCAGTAAGTTTTTCCACATACTTTTTTACGGTGTTAAATTTATCTTTTTACATAACTGTTACTCTACTAATGGTCTAATTTGTGATAGACCACTCGCGGGAAAATCAAAATAAATAAATCATAAAATTATAAATCATTTTAAGGATATTTCAATTTTTTTCATTATTTGACCGATTAGTATGTTTATACTAAAACAATTAGACCTCGCGGACTCGGCCTCTTTGGCTATTAGCTCGTAGTCCACTCGACCTCGAGGTCTAATTGTTAATTAATAAACTATGGGGGTATTCAGTTGATGATATCCTCTTTAATACCTCCCCTTCGTTTGTATCTCCCTTAGTGCGCCCTTCTTAGATACACCTCTGTTACCCACCTCCAATTGCTATGGTAAACTTGCATTGTACTCTGTTGTTTGCTTTGTCATAGGCCGTGAAGTATTGATTATATGAGCCACGTTGCTTATACGTCTTCTTGACAAACGTTTT